CTCAGCCTGGTGCCGTCTCTAGCTAAAGAGTGGGGTTTCTATAATCTGCAGATCGGATATCTAGCTTATAGTCGCAATGAGGATTGGCGTAAGTGACTTGATTCTCTGCGTTTCTTGTGTGATCATGCTGACAGCCTGGGAATACAGATCTGCCCCGAGTAAAAGATGGCGCGATCGAAGTCCGACCGAGGGCAAGCTCGAACGGGGCTCTGTGCAAGTCATGGCTCGCCGGGGGCTCCTTTCAATCCTGTCCCGATCGCAAAGGACGTCCGCGACGCGGTGCATTAGATGCGCCATCTCTCAGCGCATTCGAGGCGGCCTCTGTCTTCGACAGCGATCCCATGACACAAACGGCGACCCGGTCGTCGAGTCTCACGAGAGGCGTTCACGCTTTCAAAACATTCTTCATTAAACAATTGGATGACTACCAGATCTTGCAACCATTCTCACCTGGGAGCGCGCCGTCCGTGCCGACGGCCACTTCTCGTCCCGTTCCACATCCAGTTAATTCGTCCGTCGCATCAGTCCCCTTCATCAGCGAGGAAATCCAACACTGGTATCGTATCACCAACCAGACAACATCAGCCACGAAGCACATTCTGGAAAGTTCTCGGATACGATTCCTCTCGGGTTGCCACAACGCATGGCAGCAGGCCTGTCTTGTGGCTACGGTTCTCCTGAAAAGCTTCCCTTCGACTTTAGCTACTCAGCCTCTTTCTAATTCCTCAGACTCGGGATTTCCGCTGCAATTATCTGGCCAGGAGCCAGTGCGGAAGTCAATCCCGCAACCCCTTCCTGCGGATGCACTCGCTGCGCCAGCAAAACCGATCACCCAAGCTGCGCCGGCTGCGGGTCAGTCCGGAGTAGCAGCGGTAGACGATAGCCCTAAGAAAATGCGCGGTAGCTGTATGGCTATTGTGATTGGCTTGGTTGTCGGGGTAATGTGGTTCTAGCGGGCTTTTATTCCCTAGACTCGCCACGTTTACCCCGATTCAGTCGTCTGGTTGGCAGGCTCCTATATTCGCCATGTTCATGTTTTGATGTTTATATACAAAGCCCCTGGCAAGGTCTTGTTGTTTGCTTATAATCTATCGGATGTCGGCTCTACTCCTCCGTTGATCGTCAATGGGGCTGGTTTTTGCTTCTCTGCGGCGATATTGACACCTCGTCTCTGACACGATTGTACATGCTTTGCTACGAAGTTCGTCTGGCCTGATACGGGGACTCTGGCTTAGTCCTCTTGGGTTCTGACGCTGATGAGGAATACTCGAGAATTGGCAGTGTACATTAGAGTACCATATACAATACAATAATGTCTGTTAATCCAACAAGCTTACTCGTAGCAACACCTGAAGATTGTTTATACGAGATCAGAAGCAAGGTGGTCTTGTTACAACTTGCAATGTGACACTGCGAAAGTTGACACCTCAATTCCAGTTGACGACGCACGGACCAACATCCTTCAATCCGCCTCCGCGATTGGGATTCATCATGATTAACGCGTTGGAATGCTCATGGATCTGTCGAATTTGGAGATAAGAATCTTTTCCATTCCGTATTGACACCTCTATTTAGTCTGTTTCTACTTATGTGCGTCAGAGTTTGGGAAATTGGACCGTTTGTTTGATCGACTCTGGAATCAGTGAGCAAGGGATATCCGCCGAGGTCGTTAAGGCGGCGTGTGTCTAGGTCTCTTGTCTATCCACATGATTTGGAGCATGATTGATGACAGGTAAGTTGGTATTGATTTGAGGAATATAGTCAATGGGAGTCGATGGGAGACAGATTGTTTGTACCGCCTTCATCAATCGTTCTGGATGGCAAACGCGACGCGATGTTGCAATGTTGACGACATGACATGCTAACAATCACAAAGGATCAATTGAACGAGATCAGACGATCACTATAATTTCCCCTTCTGCCAGAGCGGAGACAAGGGAGTGAACTGATCCGGAAAATGTCGACCAAGAAGCCAAGAGACCGGACCAGCCCCTGCTGCGTGTGCAGGTTAAAAAGGCGGGGATGCGATCGGCAACGACCAGGTATTAACTCATTCAAGCCCTTCCTTTGGGATAGAAGCTGACAAGTACAGTATGTGGACGATGCCGCGAGGCAGGCCTGTCGGATGAATGCTCCTACCGGCCGGAGGACATGCCTCCTCCGCACAGCTCATCGCGGTATGCACGCCTTCGCTCAATGCATGTCCATCTCCCACAGGCACAGCACCTAACAGGCAGAAGCAGGTCGCTACTTCCGCAGCAACTGAAGCGGCTGGGGTCACTACCCTCCCCGTCACTATCCGCACCATTGGTGGTCATCCGGTCCGCTGCACCGCCCAGCTCTACCTGGAACGGGAGGGTGTCGTCGCCAAGGCGCACGCTGCAGAGTTCACGAGAGGCTGGGCCCAGGCGGCGGTATACCCTCGACTTCTTTTCGCATCGGCGAACGCAGTCCGGATCTGCCATGTACACTGCCCGAGGCCAGTTGCAAGCGCGCGGGCAGATCGATTTCGACGAGGGTTCTGTTGGCGGGTCCGAGGAAAAGAGCGATGCGATTGAGGTTTCGAGTCAATCGGATGAATCGTTTCATACTGCTACGCGATCGCCGATGCCTGAGCTTATTTGGGGTGAGAGTCGCGGTGCGCAGGGATCGCATTTTGCGAGGATACGAAAGGCCCGGGAGAGACGGACGGGGAGTGTCAAGTGGGAAGAGGAAGAGCTGATCGAGGATCGTCTGCCGAGATTACGACATTCGAGTCTTGCTGGTGGGACGCTTATCTCTGCTTTGGACGAAGTAGACGAGGAGATGATGGACTCTCCCGTTGATTTGTCCAGGGAGGATGCGGATCGACTGGTGAACGTCTACTTGAATCTGGATTATGTGTCGCTGCCGATCCTGGATATACAGGACTTTCGCGCAGCGTATGAAGCAGCTAGAGTTGCTGGAGACTCTACCACGCCGAACGCATTTTATGCCATTTTGAACACAGTCTTTGCGCTCGCCTGTCTCAGTGTAGACGACATGGGCGATGAAAGGGCGAGATACTACTTCAAAGAGGGCCAGAGGCTGGCCAACCTGTTCGATCAATACAGATCTATTGATCTTCTTCGATTATATCTCCTGCAGGTTCAATATCTCAACGCCATAGGTGATCTACATCCGGCTTGGGCTATGATCGGATCTACAATACGACTCGCGCAGTCACTGCATCTGCCTTTCCACGCAAAGCAACACGGGCAAAGCAGAAAAGGCCGAGAGACTTGCCGGAGGCTCTGGCACGGCGCGATGATAATGGAACGGATCCTTGCGCTGCGGCTCGGCATCGCGCCCCAAACACCCGATCCGCTGCGGGTTCCTCTGCCCACGCACTTGGATACCGACTATGTTGATGTGATTTCGAGCGCGCAGTCCAGCGCACCGTCGAGCTCGCAAGGTGAGCGTGCATCAATAATCGAGTTCTTCACCGCCTGCGCAAGGCTGTACAGGCTTGTCGAGGACGTAATGGCATGGGAGGAAGAAGCAAGGATTCGGCCTCACGGCTGTGCCATGAAGAAATTACTGTCGCTGGATTTCACACGGTTCTTGAAAGCGGATAGCCTCTTACATGATTGGAATTTGTCATTGCCCTCGTCTCTCCGGAGCAGTGAGATGCATGGCACAGACGAACACTCCATCGTCGTCCGACAGCGGAATATCCTTCGAGCTCGATACCTGTATCTTCGACTCCGGCTAAACCGGCCATTGGTTACTCTGGGTCTAGCGCTGACCACAGCGTGCAAGTGCAAGTCGGATGGGCAGCCACACATTGTGGAAAGAAGGCTCGCCCCGGATTCCCCCATCGCGCTGAGCCTGGTCCACGGGGCTTCTATCAAGTGCGTCCGAGCCGCGCTTGAATTGACTGAGCTCATTCGCGTGCATGAGGCTGGATTGCCTCGACTTGATACACCATACGACTCAAGCCACTATCTCAACCCACCTTACTGGGAGTCTGTGGACTTCCTTTACGTCTGCGGTACAGTCTTCCTTGCTAGCTTCAACCACCGATGTCCGTTCTTCGGAGATATGACCGACGAGGAAGACGAACAGTGTAGAGTCCTCTGGCCCTGCATCGTAGACCTTCTCGATCGCTACCAGGGATATCGTCGACGTGGCCGGACGAACAATGTGGCCCAGGCGTGCAGGCTTACACTGGGCGAGCTTGCCAAGGCGGTTGAAGGCACAGATGGCACCGGTTGGATGGTCGATTCGGCGGTATTAGGGCAAGACGCGCGAGCAAGGTTCTCTCAGCGGACCGAGATGGAGTCCCCGATCCGACACAGACGAATATCAGGCGCGAGTCAGACGATTCCGGATCCCCCTGGGAACGTTCCTGAGTTCCCGGTGTGGATGGATAGTTTACCAGTCGACCTGGTGGGATGATTTTGGCCTGAGCTATGTGATACCCATATCTGTATGATAAAACGGCGTTGCCAATAACCCCAGAATCTACTCGAAGATAAACTGAATATGATATTGAAGCTCTCCGAGCAAGTGGTAACCGTCACGGCCTCGGTAGTGATAGTATCGCGATACTCGGAGTCGGTCCGATGCTGATTATCGTGCTGCCAACATCCTTCAACGCCCCTTCAGTTACACCCAAGTGCAATTCATCTTGATTCTATCGACTCTTGCTTCAATCCAAGCTACGATTATCATCAATCTAAAGAGAGTCTTAGAATCTACAGCGTAGTACACAAACCCTCCTAAAACAGTTGTGACCTGTCCGAGTCCGACCCCTAACAGTCCCCCACGCCCCCAACATCGGCCCGTAGACCGACCCCGCAAGTAAATTCAGTGTCGTAATCGGTGCAATTCCCAGCGAGACGGCGGGGTGACAGTTCCCCTGTCGACCCCTCTCTCGCATTCTTGTCCTATTTTTCACTTTTACTCTCCATTTTATTTCTTTTCTCCTTCTCAATCATTCTCGGATCATACGAGGTATAAACACATACAAAATCACAATGCAGGCAATGCAAGCAGCGAATCGACTCCAGCGGGCTCTCCGCACCGAGCGCGGATTGTCCTTTGGCGCGTGGCAGATGCTTCCTGGCGCGAACCATGCGCGGTTCATGGCTAGGACGGGGTATGATTGGATCTGTGTGGATACGGAGCATGGGAATATCGCTGGTAAGTACGGAGTATGCTGGCTACGATTACGGTGATGGCTATGGCTGACAGTCGCAGATTGGCAGATGCATGAGGCTGTGGCTGCTATTGCTGCTACGGGGGTAAGTCCCATTGTACGGATTGCTGCGAATGAGGGGTGGATGGTGAAGCGTGAGTTTATCTTTGATTCAGGGGTGAGAGGATACAAGGAGACAAGCTAACAGTGGGTAGGGGCCTTGGATGCGGGCGCTCATGGAATCGTCGTTCCTCTGCTGTATACCGCTGATGATGCCCGGAGGTTGGTGGAGTCTGCCAAGTTCCCACCTGTTGGCCGGAGAGGCTTTGGGAGTCCCTTTGCCATGGGCTCTATTGGTGGTGTTTCTTCGGTGGAATATCTCCAAGGGGCCAACGATGCGCTGCTCACCATTGTGCAGATTGAGACTAAGGAGGCACTTGAGAATGTGAGTTTATCGGGAGCGGCCTAAGAAGCGATGACAATCTAATTGAGTTGATATACAGGTGGAGGAGATTGCAAAGGTCCCCGGCATCGATGTGCTGTTCATCGGACCCTGGGATCTGGGAAACAATATCGGCCGCCCTGTCACCGGCGCATTCCATGAAGACCTCGAGGCTGCGATTGAGCGGATCCGCAAGGCTGCGGTCGATAACGGAAAGAGGGCCGGTATCTACTGCGTTGGTGGTGCGGCTGCAAAGAAGTACGCCGACCAGGGTTTCCACATGGTATGTAGCAGTCTCTCCCTTTCCTGGTTGCCTCGCAGTCGCTGATAAGCTTTGACGCAGATCTCCGTCGTCGCCGATGCTGTCGCTTTGCCCACGTTCCTTGCGGATGCCCTTGAAACTGCCAAGGGTAGCAAGACGGATGCCGCCGTTCCCACCTACTAGATCTACCCATCCAATCCCCACATGTATAGTGTTTGCAATTAGAGTGAACGAAGTTTATGATTGTCTTATATCCAGCGAGGCTTCTGCCTCTATGACTTTTCTGCCTCCTCGACCAGATTCTCGACTTCCTGCTCGGTGAACCGGTGGAAAAGCTTCTTCGGATCGGAGAGTTGATCTTTCAGGGCAGATTGAACATGGAGAACCGGAACATCGAATTCGTAGACGTCCTTCCAGGACTTGTTCTCAGGGGCCATAATGTCCATTTCGGAGTAATCAAAGGGCCTCCGCTTGTGTAGCTGGGTCACGGCATGCTTGGCGGTGTCACAGAGCCCGCAGCCAGCGCGGGTGAAGAGGGTGACACGAGCTTTTGAGAAGAGAGCTCTCGTGGGGAACATGTTGCAATCCAAGCTCCTTGAACCCTTTAGAGTTGTTGTTGATGGTAAGGTAGTGTTGGAGAATAGCGCGGTGGAGTTCCCCGTGGAACCTTCGAGCTTTATAGGCTAAACCCAATCGGGACACAGCGAATGGAAACGGAAAGCATCGCAGCAAGATTCTGTATCATTCTATAGCATACTTGCGTGTTTTGATGCTCAGTTCTCTTGAAGGCGATTGATCTCCCTGTATATTTGTCCCAACTTCACCTATTGCAGAAACAGGCCTGACAGTATGGCGTCCAAGTGTGTTCACAAAGGGTGCGGTAAAGAATTCACCGATCCGGAGGAGGATTGCTTGTACCATCCTGGCCCTCCCGTTTTCCACGAAGGTCAAAAGGGTAAGTCAGGCAAGGACCTTGGGGGTGCAAAAGACAAATCGCACATCTCCAGATTTCCAAACGAAGACCTCTATCTGACAAGTGATCTGCAGGTTGGAAATGTTGCAAACCCCGCGTTCTGACATTTGAGGAATTCCTGACCATCCCACCATGCACCACCGGCAAGCACTCAACGGTGGACGACACACCCGCCGAGCCAGAGAAGGAGTCGAATGCTTCAACCGTCCTTGAGCAGCAACTCGCCGCCGCGACACCGGCGCCCGCTCCCCCGCGCCATGCGGTTTCGCCCGCCATTCCCCCTCCCTCGAGCGCCGCTACGCCCATTGTCGAAGAGACAGAGGACGATGACCCCTCACTCGAGATCCCGGCCAATGCCACCTGCCGTCGCCGAGGTTGTAACAAAGGCTACGATCCGGCTGTGCCGCGCGACGAGGAGAAGTGCGTCTATCACCCCGGCCAGCCGATCTTCCATGAGGGCAGCAAGGGCTGGTCATGCTGCAAGAGGCGGGTGTTGGAGTTCGACGAGTTCATGAAGATCCAGGGGTGCAAGGAGAAGACGAGGCATCTCTTTGTTGGGAAAGGAAAGCCCGCCGGCGAGGAAAAGGTCGAGACGGTCAGGTATGCATCTTCTACGGACTAACGGATCATGAGAGACCACGCTAATGGTTGCTGTCTGCAGGAATGACTTCTACCAGACCCCGTCGACGGTCAATGTCTCGCTATATCTCAAGAAGATTGACAAGGACAACGCCAAAGTTACCTTCTCCTCCACATCGGTCGAGTTCGATCTGCCTACGACGGATAACAAGCGATATAAGGATACATACCCTCTGTTTGCGCCGATTGTTCCGGAACAGTGTTCCTTCAAGGTCTTGGGAACAAAGCTGGAGCTCAAGCTGGTCAAGGCTGAGGCGACAGGCTGGCCGGTGCTACGGAGCGATGACAAGTGGACGGGAGAGAGAATTCAGGTTGGACAGGCCGGCAGGGCTTAATATATGAAATTTTCACATCGTTTATAGTTCGACAGCATTAAAAGCTCATGAGATCAATGATAATGTTCATCGGCTTATACAACTACAGCATTGGTTGGAGATATGGAGGTATGATCGAAAATAATCTTTCATTCGGATAAATTCTGCATAGCAAGACCGCAGTTGAGTACTCGTACACACATCAATGCACAAGTGCACTCAAAAAAGGTATGTCACGCCCCCTCCACAGCATAAGCGCATGGGGCTTTAATCTTTCGAAAAAAAGCCCTCGCTCAGCCATGTATTGTGTAGGGAAAAAGGAAGACGCACGCAGAGTAAATCCACGCTGCTCTCCAGAGCCGGGAACGGAAGGAAACCCATAGAGAAAAAATTCCCGCAAGAATAACCTTCAGCGAGCAGTACTTTGACTGAGCTCCGGGTTGAAATTTACATGGTCATGTAAACCTCTACTGATGATGAAGAAAGAAAAGAAAAAGAAAGGGAAGAAGTGTCGCTGAAGAAGTCCTTTTGTAGGTGATCTGACAGATTGCGCTAGCGGATTTCGGGACTAGTGAGATGCCGAGATGGTTCTTACTTAGGGTTAGGGTACTCATGGCACATGATGGGCCAGCCCGGTGAAGAACCACGTGATTTCACTCGACTGGGAGAGTCACATGGTTGAGAATCACATGCAAATGTTGAGCTTGGGGACAAAAAGGGACTAGCGTTCATGCCTTGTAATTATGGTGCCTAGTTCCCTTTTCGACGCCAAACGCGGTAGGAGAACAACTGTAAAGCGAGATGCCGCACGTAAGACTTTGTACACTGGACGATGGCGAATGATATCAAGCAAACATTTCAGTAGTAACTTCATAGTGGCTTCGATCAACACCAGTTGTCGTCATGCGTGGCGGCGTGTGATCGAGGAAAGCTGGACTTTAGCCCAGATACCTTAGGGATAAGGCCGCCTTTAGTGCCTTGGATTTTTGGAGGGGCTACTTGCGCCATTCCAATCAAGGTCAAGAGGGCACAAGACCAAAAGTTTCCCTCTTTTGTCCCTTTCTCCCCTTCCCCTGATCGATTTTATTTTGTATTTTTTATGCTGCACCTTTCTACCCATACTCAATTTACTCCTGTTGGATTGGAGCATCAATTGCCGGTCAATTCATGCTTCTGACTTCTCCTGTGTAGATAATCATCCTCTTGGCGCAAGATTACTGATTGTTACAGAGTGCAAAGGGGCCGCAACTAAGTGTACAGGTTCGTACCACAAGTCGTATAAGCCTCTCAGGCCACATGAGAGTCACTCCCCTTGCATTATCTGATACGATGTCATATGGAGACTTGATGCCCCAAAAAATATCTTTGTACGACAAGTGTTGACTGTTTGTTTTCGCAGGACCACCATCACTCCCGGGCTTCTTGGTCACTCCGTGTTCGCTCGTCGCTGTTTAGACCACACAACTTGATTCACATACAGCATTAAGATGGGATCAACGGGTGAGATGAAGGACGAGACGCTGCCGCCTCTAAGATTCATCCCTCTGTCATACAACCATGCCGATTCCCAGGCCTCTGCGCTCAGGCTTGTTCTGACGCTGAACCCGCAGTGGGAGGGTCCGGACAACAAGATCGAGTTCGTGCGCTTCACGGACGGCATCACGAATACTGTGTGTTTCTTCTAGAGGATCGTAATCAAGCGGGACCAGAGCGGTGAACTAATCTCGAGTCTTTTCTAGCTTCTCAAAATCATTAATCGGAAACCTGGCTGGACCGAGGAACAAATAGACAACGAAGCAGTACTGATGAGAGCGTACGGTAACCACACAGAGATCCTCATAGACCGCGAAAGTATGATATGTCCGGGGACCCTTTTCTCTTGCCGAACGCGACTTGCTGAGTAGATATGCTCTATCTATAGGAGAAACGACATCCCATGCGCTTCTGGCCAACCGTGGCCTGGCTCCTCCCCTTCTGGCTCGTTTCCAGAACGGACTTCTCTACCGGTTCATTCGAGGCCGTCCAGCAACCCATTTGGACCTGGTGAAGCCTCCGCTCTGGCGCGGCGTTGCCCGAAGGCTTGGACAATGGCATGCGGTGCTGCCTACCGGTGGACACAGCTCGTCCAGTTCATCTGCCAAAGAGCTCCCCTTATCCCACCAAGTAGATGTCGACGATCAGCAGCAACACAAGCAAGAAGATGATTTGGACACGATCAAGCCCCGAGTACCCGGTCCCAACATGTGGACTGTTCTGCAGAAGTGGATCCTTGCTCTTCCCACCACGACCGAGGAGCAGCGTGCCCGAAGACGCGCCTTGCAGAAGGAATTGGAACGCGTGGTGCGTGAGCTGGATGATGGAAGGGGTCTTGGTGACGACGGAGTATGTAGTCTCTTCTCTCTGGGGCGACACCTACTGACATGAGCAGCTGGTCTTTGCCCACTGTGACCTCCTCTGCGCCAACGTCATTGTCGTGCCGCAATGTCCTGCCACTGCCGCAACCTCGGATGAAGGAGCCCTGACCGTGCAGTTCATCGACTATGAATACGCGACCCCCTCTCCGGCCGCTTTCGACATCGCCAACCACTTTGCCGAATGGGGCGGATACGACTGCGACTACAGCATGATGCCCACTCGGTCCGTTCGCCGACAATTCTTGACCGAGTATGTCAAAAGCTACAGTCAATACCGGGGGATTCCCGAATCGTCGCAGCAGGAGATTGTCGACCGATTATATGAGGATGTTGATCGATTCCGTGGTATTCCCGGATTATACTGGTATGTACTGCCTCAGTACAGGTGGACTTTAACTGACAAGTATAGGGGCGTGTGGGCACTTATCCAAGCCCAGATCTCACAGATCGACTTTGACTATGCTTCCTACGCAGAGACCCGGCTGGGTGAATACTATGCCTGGCGGCGAGAAGTGGATGGCTCGCGGGCTCAGGCGGGTGAAGAGATGCCCCTTCGGGAACGTCGCTGGGCTGAGCCTTAGTTAGCCTCCTTCGCACTATCCAGTCTGTCTTATGTACATAATCAACTTACTTCACATAGAGCAAGATCATAGCATATGCATATGGCCTGCTTTTTGCTTCGTGCAAGGGTTTCAACAATATCCTTGAGGCCGCGGTTCAGCGTTAAGTATCATAACAGCGCTTGTCTTCAACGACGCGACGCATGGGGTCAGCGTCTACAGTTTTTTAATACCAAAAGCATGTATCAGATATCCTCGCGTCTTTTTCAATCTGTGATACTATTCAGGCATGCGATGATATATCAATATACACCTCGAGCCTCTCATGATTAGTAAAATATTTCGTCCTAATCATGACAAGATTGTAATCGACTATCACAGCAAAGTCTCATGAGATAAATTCAATTAGCACATAAATCCTTAATACACGCTTATAAGAAATCGCTCTATATACTAGTGACAGGAAATTACAAACGATGATGCAACGACGGCAACGACGCATCCAACACATGTGAAGGAGACGTAGATACCTCCAACTTCAACGCCTCCACCAACCTCCTCCACGCTCTCCACCCACGCACCGCATGCTTCTCAGGCGTAGCCGGGTCCGGATCCGCCAGCGTCCTCGAAAACAGCTCCAGCGACACCCAACCCTCAAACCCGAGCTCAAAGAACGCCCGCGCCACGTCCAGCACAGGGAGGTATCCGCCGCGGTCCTCCTCAAAGGGGAACAGCCTCGCATTCCGCGACCAGCTCATGCGCGGTGGCTGCCCGGGGACATGGAACGGGTGGTTCTCGTCCAGCGGGGCGGAGAGGCGCTCTCCGTCAACGATCTGGATGTAGAAGACCTTCTTGACGTCGACGATCGCGCGGAGACGCTGTAGTGAGGCGGCCAGGTCTGTCTCTGCGTTGGGTGTTTTGCCGGAGGGAACTGCTGGGTCAGCGTACACGCGGGCCGCGAGGTTGAATGTGTCGAGACAGAGGCCGAGATTGGGGCGGTTGGCGGCCGAGACGACGGCCCAGGCTTGCTCCCAGGTGGAGACGTGGGTGCCCCATGCGAGGGCCTCGTAGGCAAAGCGGAATGGCGGCGACTGGGCGGCGCCGAGGTCTGCGATGCGCTGCAGGTCGGAGACGATCAGACTCAAATCGCCTGTGGTGCGAGGTGCGCCGGTGACTGGGTCAGGCGGGAGGAAGTTGGAGGGGATCTGGATGATGTCTGTGTTGAGGATGTGGGCGATCTGGAACCATTTGGGGAGCTTTTCGGTGAGGAGGTGCTTGGTCTGGGTGCGGTCGAGGAGACCCTCGTAGAAGAGGAAGGGCTGTAGGCAGATGATGGAGAGGTGGAGGGAGTCGCAGAGCCGGCGGACCTCTCGCGCGGCGTCTATGTGGCAGCCGTTGAAGCTGGAATGGGCCAGACAGTCGAGGTCGTCGAAGAAGAGCTCGATGCCTTCGTAGCCGTGCCGCGAGGCTTGATGGAGCTTGCTGGGCAGGTCGTGGATTCCTGGCCGGCCCAGCGACATGGACCCGATCCCTAAGCGGTTGGGCATTGCAAATGCAGTTGTTTGGTTGCCTCTTCTGAAGATGCACTGTCTGCGATATTCTAGAGGGTGTGCAGTTTAACTTTCTCAAGGTATGTAGACGATGTCAACAGTCACTTTATTGTACGCGTCACACCGAGCGCCGGCGCGATCGACAGCGGCAGCCAAGACAGACTTATCATCATCATCATATTTGCAGTACCGTTTGGAACTGATGTGCTCTCTTTTGTAGACATCTCTCGCATAAACACGGAGCTGTCGTCAGAAGCTTGTACTCGTCAGTGTTGGAATGTCGCCGGTTAAGCGTTTACCAGGGGTAGTGTTTATCCCTGCGTTTACCCCTCAGGAGCTGCGGGGAGCCAAAGCTTAGCCGTCTGCTTGTACATAGAGCTACATGGCAAAACAATCAGTGCATCACTCCTGAATGCTATTCCAGACAGGCTAACTAATGCTGCCTTCATTATTGACCAAGTTGATTCATCCGTGCATCCACATGCATATTGCATATGCGTATTGCATATTTGCCGGCATCGGCATTGGATGATTCTGGGGGATTTACCCCAGATAATGGCATTATGACTCCTCCGGCTATTATTCATATACCACTGCACGATTAGCATTGGCTGTGAGCAAACTGAGGAATTGGAATATCATCATGTCCCTCCGAGTCATCATCGTCGGCGCCGGCCTCATCGGCCCTCGCCACGCCCAATCCGTCCTCGCCAACCCATCGACCGAGCTCGTGGCTCTCATCGACCCAGCCAGCAGCGCTGCCCAAATCGCCTCGCAGCTACAAACAAAGCACTTCCCCTCCATCCCCGCCATGCTGGTGGTCATCCCCAAACCCGACGCCGCCATCATCTGCACCCCAAACCACACCCACGTCCCCATCGCGACAGAGCTCCTCTCCCACGGCATCCACGTCCTCGTGGAGAAACCCCTCAGCGACAGCCTCGAATCGGCCCGGTCATTGCTAAGTTTCGCCCGCCGCCCCGAAAACAGCCACCTGACTCTCCTGGTCGGCCACCACCGCCGCTTCAATCCTTACGTCGAGAAAACCAAGCAGATACTGGACAGTAACTCCCTCGGCACACCCATCGCAGTCAACGGCCTCTGGACTCTCTACAAGCCTTCTGCTTACTTCGACCCGCCAACGGACTGGCGCCGGACCTCCCCCGCCGGCGGCGTAATCCCCATCAACCTCGTCCACGATATCGATACGCTGCAGTATCTGTTTGGTCCGATCACTCGCGTACATGCTGAGAAGACACCACGGCAGCGAGCTAACCCACCCCATGAAGTCGAAGAAGGCGCCGCGCTAATTCTGTGCTTTGCGTCAGGTGTTGTAGGCACGTTCCTCGTCTGTGATGCTACTCCCTCCCCGTATAACTTTGAGATGGGGACGGGGGAGAACCCGCTTATCCCATCTCCTCCTTCTCTGGAGGGAAGTGGTGGTAGGGCGGATTTCTATCGTATCTTTGGCTCAGAGGCGTGTCTGAGTGTGCCTGATATGACACGGTGGAGTTATGATGGACGGGTGGAGAAGAGTTGGAATGAGGAGTTGGCTGTGGAGAGGTTTGAGGTAGATCAAAATGCGACGCCGTTTGATTTGCAGCTGGCGCATTTTGTGGAGGTCATTAAGGGGAGGGAGCGGCAGAGGTGTTCTGGGGAGGATGGGTTACGGGCCTTGATGGTTTGTGAGGGGGTGAGGAGGGCGTTGGAGACGGGGGAAGTGGTGCATTTGTCCGCCATTGATAAGTAGTTATAATACTCTTCTGGTAATGAGCGAGCAGGTACAAGTAGTAGATGATACACAGACAGGAGATTAGCTGGACTATGTCATGCGAGCGATCTTATGTTACACAAGTATTGTAGCAATATCAATTACTGTATGTCTGAATAAATTGCGGACTGTACATATGCCATGCTAGGCCTTGGGCAAATGCTCTGGCACGTGCTCCACCTGCTGGTCACCCGTCTTGGTATACCCCGACTCCTCAATATCATGCCGGAACCGTTCCTCGTCTTCCCGAAGTCTGGCCAGGACCGTCTCATGGGCACGCCAGATCGGCCTCGACTCAAACAAGGCATCCATGCTCTCCAGCGGAATGCCCTTGGTTTCCGGGATGAGGAAAAATACAAAAACGATGGACAGCACCATCAGCGAGGCGAAGAAGAACCACACGCCGTACTCCATCTTGGCAAACATCTGCGGCGTGAAGCGCGAGATGAGAAAGTTCCAGAGCCAGTTGGAGGCGGCCGCGCAGGCCTGTGCGAGGGAGCGCATGTTGGGCTCGAACATTTCCTACCATAGTCAGTATCAACTTCAGGATAGGTGGATGAGGGACCTACCGAATTCATAACCCAAGGAGTTCCGTTCCACGAGGGAGTGTAAAAGACGGTGTAAAGGTAAAAGAAGAACATGGCCGCAATGCCGCCGCCTGTCATCTCCTGGGTGGGATGAGCGGCGGGGTCGGCGATCTTGATATATGCACCAACAATAAACAGACAGACTGCTGCGCCTGCGGCTCCGATGAGCAGCAGCAGACGCCGTCCCAAGCGGTCGATCAGGTAGAGGAGCCAGACAAAGGTGACTACCGTCTTGACAACTCCAAAAATACCGGTGCTGAACATGCTGGTGTTTGCACCCTGCAAACCAATACTCTTGAACACCGTGGGACTATAGTAGTTGATGGCATTGATGCCACTGCCATTCTGCCAGAAGAAGAGCATGCTTCCCAGGAAGAGACGATACATGACCTTCTTGTTGGTTCCGGCGGCCTTGAAGGGCTTCCAGAAGCCAAGACCAATGGTGGTGCGCTGCTCCTCCAAGGCCTGGTCAACCGCGCCGATCTCCTCAATCATGTATATGTGATCCGCAGGCAGCTGGCGGATCCAGCAGAGGTTCTTGATGGCATCTTCCCGGCGTCCGCGGGAGAACAGCCAACGCGGAGACTCCTTGAGGAAGACTGCACCGATCAGGAGGAGACCGGATGGGATCAACTGGACAGCAAAGGGAATGATCCACTGCTTGTGGCTGGGAGCCATAGTTTCACTGACGCCGTACTACACAACGTAAGTATGTTGACGAGAGGAATGGAACATAAAGGACGTACATTGATCCAGAAGCCCACCAGACCACCAATCTGCCAGCCCAACTCGTAGACGCCAACCAGTCGTCCTCGAATGGAGGGTGGAGCCATCTCGGAGATGTAGATGGGAGTGATATTCGAACCAGCGCCGACACCAAGACCGGCCAGAACGCGACCTCCGTACAGCAAACCCAGCCCCCGGTCACCGTTGGCACCAAGCATGAGACCAGCGCCAAGAGTGAAAATAGAAGCGGCAAATAGCAGACCCCATTTCCTTCCCCAGAAATGACCAACGGGGTAGGCGAGGAAAGCCCCAAAAAAGGCGCCGGCCTGGTAGCAGGAGACGATGTTGGCGCTCACCAGATTGACCGCCGTTTTGCTCATGGTGTTGAAACCAAACTCTTCCTTGAACGAGCTGAGGGCAAGAGTGGTTCCAATAAAGGCACTATCATAGCCAATCATGCATGATGTGAAGGAGGCCACGGCGGCCAACAGGTAAATCCTCCAGTTGTAGACCTCCTTTGGAGTTGGTCGATCTTCGACCAGAGCAAGGATGGACATTGTGCAATGACTCCGGATACGAGAATGTCAACTGAGTGGTACTAGGGATGACTGGAAGGTGAGAAGAAAGTCGACGGAGGCATCAACTTTATCTAAATAGCCAACCAGCCACAGCTGGGGATAAACAGTCCGAGCCACGAAAAATCTGGGGATAGAGAGCGTGGAGATGCGGAGGCGGAGGCGTTGCTAAGAACTCTGGTTAAACCATTAAAGCGCCATCATGGAGTGGAAGGAGAGCATTCGGAAGAAAGAATATTAGACTTTGCATCGTCTAAATGTTTAACAATAAGAATGCCAGTCGTCCATGCACCATAGCATCCTGGGACGAACTCCGATACCGCTGAGATTAAGGGAGGCCAAGGATGTAGAGTCCGAGCATATTCTGATTATGACTCGTCGTCAATGGGCCCGTGTCTGGAAAAGGGATACGCCGGCTGAAGTTGGGTTGTGGAATGCCTCATGAGAATTGAAAATGCGGATGTGGCTCCCCACGGGGCAATCCATAATATGGCGATCCAACAGTGAGGACGGAAAAGGGTTCTCCCCGCGAGGAGTTTGCCATCCGTAAATTAGTGCTGAAGTCAAATTCCTACCGTACCTTGGGCCCTTGGCACTCGGATGTCGTCTGAGGGCTAGCTGATAGAATTGATTCCATTCAATATAGAAGTTCGCTTGATGAGATGAGACCATGAGAGCAATTTGATGACGTTGAGTTATGAGTGATAAATGTGATGGTGATATGAATCCGAAGAAGAAAGTGATGGAGAAAGACTGGTAATGGCTAAGCAAACATCCGAGTCACGGGCAGCTAAACGTTTCTCCGGAATGCAACTACAACTCCACTACTACAAGCTACGTCCTAGGTAGTATGTTAAGCGTCAAGTTTCCATACATCATCTATTTCCAACCGTGAATTGTACATCGATCTCGACCTGGATACCGTCAATTATCCTCCTGCTGCAGAACCATGGCCTCCCAGATCATGGATATCGGCTCCGAACAACAGCAACCAGAAGAACCCATCAGCATCCCTGACCACTTCGATGGAGTAGCATATCTCTACGGCCATCCTCTGCTCAACTCTCTATCCCCACCTCTCCATCACACAGTTTACCAATGCCTCAATCTGAACTGGACCCAGATCCCCCTCTCCAGCGTCTACGGGACATCAGACTCCTACCCTCCGCCATACACCCGCTCACCCCCGATCCACAAATTCCTCGCGTCCATCAAGTCCAATCCCAAGTTCGTCGGCTCCTCGGTGACCATGCCTTGGAAAGTCACCATCATGCCGCACCTCGACGACCTCACCGAGGACGCCCGCCAAGCCGGCGCCTGCAACACCATCTTCCTCCGCCCTGAAGCAGACGGCTCCACCTCCTACGTCGGCACAAACACAGACTGCATCGGCATCCGCGAGGCTCTCCTCCAAAATTCCAGTGGCCAGGAGGCCTTTCGCAACAAGCCCGCCCTCATCGTCGGCGGAGGCGGCACCGCCCGCACAGCCATCTACGTGATGCGCAGGTGGCTTCGCTCCAGCACAATCTACATCGTCAACCGTGACCCCGCCGAAGTAGCTGCCATCCTGGAAGAAGACAACCAGCGCAACCCCTGCCCGAACAAGGCGGCGCTCGTCCATGTGACTGATCCCGCGGTGGCGGCTCGTCTCGAGCCTCCCGCAGTCATTGTCTCGGGGATTCCCAATTACCCTCCCAAGACGCCGGGCGAGATCCAAGCTAGGGAAGTGCTGCGGGCGTTTCTAGGCCAGGCCCCTGCGTCGACGTCTGACTTCAAAGGCGTGATTCTGGAGATGTGCTATCACCCTGTGCCGTGGACGGGGATTGCCCAGCTTGCTTCGACGGCGGGGTGGAAGGTGATTCTTGGTTCGGAGGCGTTGATCTGGCAGGGATTGGAGCAGGCAAGGCTGTGGACGGGTAGGGACGTGGTTGCCGAGCCTGGGCTGGTGGATAAGGTCAAGGAGGTGTTGGGCAAGTTGATTACTGAACGGGTGCCGTCAAAGTCAAATCTATAGCCTGCTTGTATGATAGATTGCTGTACATAGACTCTCTCTAGCGACTAATGCATCTCCATGAAGCTATGCCCCTGGTCGATTATAATCCAACTCTCTCACGCGCTTCCACACCTCCCTCACAGTCCTCTCCTGCGTCTGTCTTCCTGTCTCGGTTTCCGACGGCCCAGCCGGCCGAATAGCCAGATACAACCGACTGCCCAGCCGCACCTCCTCTATGGGATCCGTCTCGGGATTCGCAGGCGGGTTCGCCGTTGTTACCAGCCCCCCGGCTTCAAGCAGAATCGCAATCCCAGCAGCCACATCCCTGTCCCACCCACAAATTAGCCAATGTCTTCAAAAGTGAAATGGAAAAAGAGGACATACCACTCCCAACACCCTCCCTCCCACCAAATATCCACCGCCCCCATAGCTGTATACGCCAGATCCAACGTCGCACTCCCCAAACTTCGCACCCCGTGCACCATCCCCCCACTCTCAGCAGCCATATTCACGAAACTCTGGACCTTGCGCGACAAGTTACCCCCAGGGATATCCCGTCTGTCCTTACCCCATTCACACGCAAAAATACACCCTCTCGGCGCGGTGGGTGGCATCGGCGGAATCGGGGTGCGGCGTAGCGGCAGACGGCGCGAGCCACGGGAGTCATTCAACCAGGCGCCGCGGCCGAGACAGGAGGAGAAGAGCTGGTTCGTGGCGGGGGCGTAGATGACCCCGATAACTGGGCGGTGGGCTACCAGGAACCCGATTGAGACGCAAAACATGGGGAAGAGGTGCGTGAAGTTGACAGTTCCTGGCCAGCTTAGCTTACCACTACCTATCTACAAGTGGGTGGGTGGAAGGAGGGGATACCGTCTAGAGGGTCGATGCACCATGTTGGGTGTGCGTCGATGAGGTACTCGCGGGATTGGCCCTGTGCGTAGGTTTCTTCGCCGAGGAATCTGGTTGTTAACTGTTAGTATGCACTTGGTGGTGAAGAAGATGGACAGGACAGACTTGTGCTCGGGGTATCTGGTTTGAATTGCGGTTTTGATGAATGTTTCCACGTCTGTGGTTATAACTTAGCTCGGATTGCTGCTACTTTCTGGTGATGGATGCGGTAGATGGATACCCTCGTCTGTTTGCGTGACAATGTCAACCGCGTTGTCCTTCTCTGCGTATGCGTATGTGGTATCGTCATCGCTTGCGATCCGCTTCTCGATGCGCTCGAGGAGAAGATCGCCGGCCTTGCGACCGAGATCGACTGCAAAGGCGTAGATCTCGTCTAGTTGTGCTTGGGTAAATTCTATGGTCATCGTGTCGAAGTTCCTCTATGAGTGGATTGTGTATGTAGATGGGAAGATAGTTGAGTAAGAGAGATCGCATTGGAGCCCATGGACTGGATGTCCTCAAGAACCCAGAAACCCGTGAGTAACCGCTCCGGATATTTGGCATTGAGGGAATCATACTACTTAGTACAGGTGAGTTGGGTGGATAAGATTCTATTCCTATTCTAGAGAACGAGGACTATTCATCACTGCTACGAGACCAGGCCACCCTCGACCTTAGCATATGAACCATTACGCCGACGACACAACAGAGAGTCAATGGAAATGGAACTTCTCTTCATGATAATACAGCAATTGCTATACATCTCATAATTCGCATGTATTGGCGATGCAGTAGAATTGGGGGCGCAGTGAATTAACTCTCCGGCAAAGCGCTCTTCCCTCGGGCATTCGTTTCCCCATACTCTACGAAAGCCACCCCGCAATTCGCATCAGTAGGCAGTATGTAGTCTCTGGATGTTTACAACAGACAGATAGATTATCCATGGTAAAGAATAAGACAAGCGATCTCGTAGGCTGTAGACATCCATGATCAGTGATCTCACTTCTCTGCTACCACTACAGTTCATCTCCATCATTTAAGAACCTCAACCTAGCATCAATCAACGCCGCCATGGGCAAATCAATCCTCCTCATCAACGGCCCCAACCTCAATCTCCTCGGCACCCGTGAGCCCCAAATCTACGGCAGCACAACCCTCGCTGACGTCGAAGCCTCCTGCAAAGCCCACGCCGAGTCGCTAGGCGCCACCCTGGCCGCCTTCCAGTCAAATCATGAGGGCGCAATCATCGATCGCATTCAKGCCGCCCGCGGGACCGTCGACGGCATCGTCATCAACCCCGGTGCATTTACGCATACCTCTGTAGCGATCCGGGATGCGCTGCTGGGCGTGGGGATCCCCTTCATCGAGCTGCATGTGAGCAATGTGCATGGGCGCGAGCCGTGGAGGCACCATAGCTATTTCAGTGATAAGGCGGCAGGGATTATCGTTGGATTGGGAGTGTATGGGTACAAGGTTGCCGTGGAACATGTGGCGTTGAACTTTAAGGAGAGGGCGGTTTTGTAGTCGGTCGGGTAATTCTCTTCGTATACCCTTTGTACATTCATATCAATGAACATCAAGCGTCAAGCTCAAGTACAGTCCGCGATGCCTGTCATCGCTTGAGGGCCAAGTTCGCCTCGGTAGTTTGCTGCCGGTCTCGCCGTATGACCCCGGCACCCTCGGAAAGTTGCTGGGTCTGTGCCAGAAGAAAAGGCTCTTGACTGGAGTACGAGTATAGCTCCGAAAACCCGGCGTCGGGGACGAACCCCAGATTCTGCATAAACTCGGGCTGGTTGTCACCCCTGTCCAGTCATCAGCATCGGTCAGCATTCAACGTGCGAAAAGACGTCACTCACTTCTCGGTACCGTCCAACGATGCCAGCTCGTCAAATAATGCATCAAGGTCGGGCGCAATTCGCGGTCGGCGTAAAGATGCATATCCGTCAATATCAACAAATGTCCCAAGGTGTAGATTCGGATCACTAAACGTCTGCTGGTACTGGGGCGTGCTGACGGGAAAGGGCGATGGTATGTCTGGTATTGTACTTCTGTCACTGATGGGTTTTGGAGCCGACGAGATCGAAGAATGAGCTCTCTGGGCGGGAATTTGCAGTTGGGACGCGTGATGCGAAGGTCCGGCGGTTCCCCTGATGGAAGGTGTGGGTAGAGACAAAGGAACGTTGTCTTGGACATTCGGCGTCCTTGTCCAGGCACTTGTCAAGAACGAGTCCGGTGTAGAGAACATAGCCCGAATCTCGTGTTGTTCACTGCCATTCAAGGGCTGCAAGGCAGGATGGCCAGCCATGCTGTCAGACGATGCATGTCGAGCAGATGCATCAACGTTATGTAGATGACTTAACCGGTCAGCTGCTGACATCGGTGCGATCGCATCCTCCGCTCTCAGTGAGAAGCCAGCTCCCTCTGTAGCGCCGTCCTGCAGCCATACCGTAGAAAGATGCGAGGAGTAGGCTTCAAGTTTGTTCTTGAGGCCAAGATCAAGTTCAAACACCCCTGGCGCATCTTGTCTCTTCCCCAGGGAGATACCGAACGTCAAAAGCATTCCAAAAATTGGGCTTGTCGCCGCCAGGCTATAAGTTTCCATGTATTTCTGCAACAGCAGCAGGAGTCTTTTTAAGCTCTCAGTTGCACGACTCTTTCTCGTGTCTGACATGTGTTTATCCCCCTGGCGTAGAGTATCCAAAGATAGAGTAGTGACGCTGCTTTCAAACATCATTTCCAATCCAAATATGTGAGGCGAGGCAACCCTTGTCGGACTTTGCAAGTCAACCCGGTAGCTTTTGGGGAGGGCCGACACCCAATGTTGTAAGTGGCGTTCCAGCGCCTCGAGTTGCAGTGTCGGATTGTTCTCCAACCGCGTTGTGCAAGAAGCCTCGTTCAAGATGCACATCAAAGAGACCAGCCGGTTAAATGTGCTGAGAGCATGAAGGGGCCCACGGTGGGAAGGACCACGCGACGATTCTGGGGGTCGCAGACCGGTCTGGTCTTCCCAAGGATGCCATTCCTCCAGACCATCCTCATTGATCGGGCCGGTCTTGACAAGATCCTCTTTGCGTAGCGACGGTTCTTGACGAGCCTTGATGGCAATCAGTGTTTCCAATACGAAACAGCCTAAAAAGACATGTTTTGACCGTGCCGAGCCCTTCTTATCTCCAGCCATGCCAGTCAGTGGAGATCCCAAACCGAGCCACCGTGCAATTCGAACCGCTTGCCCTACCAGCATCCATGCAGCATTCCATTCTTGTTGTCCGAGTTTAACTAAGGATAATATCAACAGCGCCTGCACATGCCCAATCTCATGGATGCCATCCTCGGCGGGTATCAATGCCTTTGCCGTGGCGTACAGCTGACTAGACCGTGGCCGGTCTGGATCACCGGCCACCTGACGAGTGGCGGCGATAGACCTCTCTTGCATGGACGCCAGAGTCAAAACTGCCCAAAGGGCAGCATAGTCCCCGGATCCTGCGGTCCGAGGCGAAATTTGCACACTATCTTCAGACTGCCGGAATGCTGTTCGAAGTATATCATGCTTCTCGAGAATGGGAAACCAACACTGCGTGTAAGAAAAGTAGACATCAAGCAGTGTCCACACATTGGAGGGAAGTCGAGGGGCGTTTGAGGCTTGTGATTGTATGAAAGGCTGCGACAACAGGTTCCCTGTAGAGGCGCCAATGGTATCTGAACGGAGGACTGTCTGGGTGCCGCTGTCTTTTGTGGTACGAGGTGGCAGGTGACTGGGGAAAGGTCCAGATGAGGGCGTTTTGGAAGGAGATAGACCAGCAGTCTGCGATTCTTGACGTGCATCCGTCACACCCTCAGGTAGCTGCCACTCGAGGGTGTCCGAGAGCGCGCCGCTCCCCCCAGCTTCCGGAGAGTCCGCCTCGCCCGGTCCTCGAATTGCCTTGTCCTGATCCTCTTCGGGCTGGTCCAAAAAACTCAACATGCGCTCTATCTCCTTGAGGACAATGCTATTCTTCCAGGACGAAACAAGGTCATCTGAACCCTCCGCCTCTTTGCCCATAGTAGCCAGGTGACTCGGCATATTGGCTGCCCTGAGCAAGGCGCGGACCACTTCCTCGCTCCCCTTTATCTTGCAAAAGACAAGCCCCCATAGCAACTCCAACGTGCGAATGTATCCGGTCGGCAGGCCTCGCTTCTTGGGGTTGGTCTTATAGGTGCAAGGTCGGCATAATGATGCGCAAGTCGAGCAGACCGGCTGCACCCCATCGCATTTATCCTTCTTGGAGCGACAGCTGTCGCAGGCACGCGACACTCGCTGCCGCTTCGATTGCGCGGAATTGTCGTCAGCAGTCATGCGTCTGTCATCTTCGTCGGCGTCGGTCAATCGCCGTTTGGACCTGCTACCTGCCCCTGGGGCTTGGCGCACATCGTTGCTCATGTTCTTCTGTACAACGGGCTACTAGAGCGTTCTGGACGCATGGTCATGTTTGGCCCGTTATCGCCGAGATGAATGCTTTGCCGGACGTTGATGTGATCGATTGACCTGTGTCTTTGCCGCTGAGTATCGGGGAATAGGTACAAAAACTAGTCTCGTTAAAGGCAAGCTCTTCCTGATCAGATAATGTCACAGATGAAGCTAAAGCCAAGTGGAGATAGAATGCATGGTATCAGAAATGTGTGTCTCTTGTGCCAGGGCGGAGAAGAGAAACTCGAGGGAAGCCTCTTTTGCTGGGGGGTCCGGGGAGAACCACAAACTGCTTACCCGCGGCTACAGTGATGCTGGGTCTTGTTCATACGTACTCGATGGATGCCAGAATAGTAAAATTAATATTTGTCGCCTGTCAGGGAAATACTACAGTCGATATAATTCCAATGACCGCCTCCTGATTGAGCAAATTAGCAGATGCTGCCAGACCCTAGAACTCTGGGGATGATGGCCCCAGGCATCCATTACCGACCGTTTCGATCCCCGCGGGGTAAATTACGTAAAGTGACAGTATGATGCGCGGCAGAGTGTTTGTCCGCAGTGCCTCAGGCCACCAGCGCGAAGGGGTCTTCCCCTCGAGCCACGAAGAATTGAGGACAGTCTGACGCTGTCCTGCTAACCCCCGCAGCTTGCACTATTCTGTGTGGCCGCTTTACTTCTCTTGGATCCATGAGGGATATCATACGGTCGAATTTGATTGGCGTCTGTCATCATTGGTCCTTTTGCCCTGACCGCTCGCGTTGAATCATCCCTCACACGCAGCTTCTTTCAACATGTGCAGCTTTAGAGTCTCCGAATGCTCATGATCTCCACAACCGAGACATCTTTCAAACAACATGTCGATCCTAGCGAGGCCGGCAAAGCGCAAGTTGGGTGAGGTCGATGGGCTTGAGGCACCAAATAGACGCCTTTCTACCCGGAGCAGTCGCATCGCCTCAGACTCAATCCAACCATCAATCCGCGCATCTGACCATGATGCTGCTCTTCCTAGGCCCGAGTCTTTCCAGAGGCAGGAACAGCCGGATGCGTGTGGCGAACATAATTGGTACTCAAACTCTCCGCGCACTTTGAACTCGAATCGCGCATCCCCAACACGCCTCGGAAGTCCTCCTGAAACACAGAGGATTTTCTCTCCTAATGCGTCGATTGTATTGATCGGTATCCGTGGTACAGGAAAGTCCAGTCTCGCCGTCATTCTCGCCGCGACCTCAGGAAAGCGAATGATTGATGCGGATCAATACTTCCAGCAGGTGACGGGTCGTTCCCGGGCTGCATTCAAGAAGGAATATGATCTTACCGAGTATCGTCAGCAGGAGGCCCGAGTGATGGAGTCAATGCTTGCAGAACACAAAGAAGGGTGCGTCATTGCGTGCGGACCGGGATCCATGGAGCGCAGCGGGCAACAATTGCTGCGGGAATATGCGAAGACGCATCCTGTTATTCACATTATTCGAGATCCCGAAAGCATTCAGTCGTATTTGAAAGCCTGGGATACGGTCAAAGTCCGCCGGTTTCTCGAGCTTTCTGGTCCCGTATATCGGGCTTGTTCGAACCTGGAGTTTTTCAATGTCTCCGAGAAGGGTTTCACGGACTACGCAGGGAAAGACAACCATAACCACTCGCCGTTGCAGTTGGAACTCGATCAACGATCTCAAGCTTCCACCCCCTTCTTGACTCTCAAGCGGTTGCAGCGCGATTTCTTGAAATTTGTTGCCTTTGCAACCGGGGACAGTACCATCCTGAGTGGTCAGCAAGCGTCGTTCCCACTGTCGATGCAGCCGGTTGAGTCTCGTATGTTCACCTACGCTGTGACTGTGCCAATATCATCCTTGTTTGAGCGGGAATTAGACATCGAGGAACTGGAATCCACCGCCGATGCGTTTGAGCTCAAGGTGGATATAACAGAAGCTTGTTCCGACGACCAGGGCATTGACTCGGCCCTGGCAGACAGAATAAGTCAAGCTGTGGCGACTATCCGACGAAACATAGTCATTCCCCTGATATACCATGTCGAAAGTAGTTTGAGCCCTGTAGGTTCTCCTGTGCAACATAACGGGCCCTTACGCCGCTCGGATGATGCATACCTGAACCTTAGCAAACACGGGTTACGACTAGCTCCTGAGTATTTGACGGTTGATCTCTCCTATAGTGATGATATTCTATCGCAGATCATTACTTCCAAGGGGACGAGCAAAGTGATTGGGCATTTTGCATGGTCGCAACCTTGCGCAAGAGGTTGGGAGGATGCGGAACCACTGGCAATGTACGAACGAGCCAGGCGACTAGGATGCGATATGGTTCGATTGACGCAGCCGGCAACGACAATCGAGGATAATTTTGCTGTTGAAAGATTTCGCCACCATATCAGAGGTCTTCCATGGCAGCTACCCGTGATAGCCTTCAATACCACTCCTCTGGGCAGAATGTCGAGCTGCTTCAATCCCGTTCTCACATCTGTGACACCTCCACCACTGTTAMCAGAGATGCAGTCCAAGTCATTACCCTCTCTCACCTTGCGTGAGGCGCAAGGAGCGCTCTACGCCTCATTCGCTCTGGATCCGATGCAATTCTTTGTTTTTGGCGCCAACGTCACATATAGTCTGTCCCCTGCGATGCACAATGCAGCCTTCAACGCATGTGGGATACCGCATAAATATACGATTTGTCAGTCGCCTTCCCTGCGAGGCTTGAATGAACTGGTCGAGAATCCCTATTTCGGCGGGTCAAGTGTCAGTCTGCCCTACAAGACAGAAGTCATTCCTCTTCTCCACTCCATGTCACCGCATGCTCGGGCTATCGGAGCTGTGAACACACTGATACCGATCCGGAAGTTCCCGGATGGCGCTGACACCGCTATTGAGTCTTCTCTTTATCTTGAGAAGAGCCGGGCCGGCCCAACAAAGGCGTTGCACGGAGATAACACCGATTGGATTGGGATAGGAAATTGCTTTCGAAGAGGTCTATCTCCCGCCAATGCCATCCGTCCTTCGTCCACAGGCTTGGTTATCGGGGCTGGCGGTATGGCTCGGGCGGCAGTGTACTCAATGATCCACCTCGGGGTGCAAAACATCTTCGTCTACAATCGTACTATGGCCAATGCAGAGAAGTTGGCTCACCACTACAACCGACAGAACCTTCTGGCGCACGGATGGGGAGGCCCGAATTCTCGCTCGAAAGTCCACGTCCTGCAGTCTTTGCAGGATAACTGGCCTGCCGAATACAAGCCACCGACCGTGATTTGCAGCTGCATACCTGCTCATAGTATTGGAGGAGTGCCAGCTCCCAACTTTCAACTACCTTCTCAGTGGCTTGGGAGCCCTACCGGAGGCGTAGTAGTGGAGGTAAGTGAACCGATCTAGCATCGCTTTAAGAGACGAAGACTAATATCATGCAGCTGGCCTACAAACCTCTCAATACCCCAATCATGAAGCAAATGCGCGCCCTCTCTCATCGAGGCTGGGTTGCCCTTGATGGGCTCGATGTTCTCCCGGAGCAGGGATTTGCGCAATTTGAGCTCTTTACAGGTCGCCGTGCTCCGCGGCGAGTAATGCGCAGGATCGTGTTGCAGGAATACCAGGAAGTGGAGGGACAGGAAGAGCAAAGCGCTATCCAAAGTAGACTGGAAAATCTGGATGGACAGCCTACTTGATCCAGTCCCTTCAGAAATTTGGTACAAGAAACTCTGGCGTTTCGTTAGGACAGTACATGACACTTCCGAAATGGGCGAATTGCTCTATGGCCGAGGATCCCACTTTTCTACAACCAGGGCAGGTCTGAAAGGGAGATGCATGATCAAGGCTTACCTGCAGTCCACTACTTTTACGTCAAGCCAAACGATGTGTACGAGGCCAGAGGCACGCTGCAAGCAAATCAACATGTCATTAGCTTCGTAGCAGCTACCGTATCATCCATCAAGCAGAGTCAATTATCGACAACTTGAGAACACATTCATCAAATCCCGACACCATCTTGAACAAAGGCAATCTCGCCAAGTCACACTCTCAGTTCTTCAGAGCAAGCGGCAGTAGTCCCGGCCGAGCCACCAGCACAAAGTTCGCACAGCTCATCCTGGCATGGTCCGACATCCGATGCACGACAATCGACCGATTCCCGAAATAAGCAGGCTCACCCGGATCCGTCGACAGGTAGAGGTCACTGTACTGCGCTTCAAACCCCTGATGATCCGCCGTGACAATGGGCCCGTGTTTCCCGCTCAAGTCGCCGATCTGGCAAGCCTGCGGGCTCGTCATATTGCATGTGGTCTTGTTCCCCCGCCGGTACGGGTCGAAGGAGTTACCGGTTTTGTAACAGTCGCCGTCGGCGGGGACGGGGTCCTCATGGATGGAGTATGCTGCGCAGGTTGTGTCAGTCAATGCAAGGAACTAGAAAGACACTACATACCTAGGGCTTCATCGTCGGGGATACCCCAGAAGTCGGCGTGGACTTTGACGCCGTCGCCCTCTCGGGGCGCGAAGAGAGTGATCCAGCCGCGGAGGCTGGTATCCTGCCTATGTGGAAGGGTGGCCTCGTACAGAACGTCGCCGCGGGCATTCGTCACGACGGGGGCAAAGGTGACGTTTGGAGACACGGCGACGGCAGTTGATGAGAGGCCGAGTCTCAGAAGGACAAGCGTTGTGAAGAGTATGGACTGCATGTTGTCGTCTCACAAGCAATCAGATTTCCTGATCGAATAATATTGAATTCAGGGTTGTCCCTTGTTCCTATCCTACAAGGGCGAAGGGAGGAGGCGACTGCGTTTATACCCAACCCTTGGAAGGAGTCAAGGAGCCTGGATGCATCTAGATGTCCGCAGAACTCAAGAACAAAGAGTCACCAATCGATAATCGAAAGCTATCGAAACAGTAGCAACATTTTTACCCTGCCTTCTGCTCCTGATTGCAATTCATAGATTTATTGGCTAGAACGCCCTGCCCATGCGGAATGCACGCGTTGTGTCACGGTAATGCATGCCTCTTCACTCCCGACATCACAGGTTTATTTGCCACTGCAGTATGTCTCACTGCTACCGTAGGTTTCCACAATGCAATGCGATGGTTATTGCTGGTTGGTGAGATCGTGTGAGTTGCATTGGAATGAACGACGCGGTTATGCGATTGTGCTTCCGAAAGACACGCGAAGAATGTGGCTTGGTAACAGTGCCTTCAATCGTCAGTCCATTGAAGGATACCTATGCATACCTAGGTATTATTCGAGTCAGTAGAGAAGTATTGCTCCTCGTCTCGTCGATCAACGTCCGTTGTTCCATCCATTCCAAATTGCTACATATCTGCTTAGATTGAGTTTCACCAGTAACATCTATCAACATCAAGGAAGCTCGAGGACAATCAACCAATCACATATATACGGCACTTAGAATTAATGGAGAACTGGATCCAGTATCTCATTAAGTGATTGATGATGAGGAAGTATAAGTTCTCGGCAACTTCAGAGACCAGTTCCCCTCATCGGGGTGCTTTAGCCCGGGAATCCTCATCAGCAGGCAGAACTGAACATAAGAGCGACCGATCATCGTCCCCGCATCTCCTGTAGCATATCGATATCCTATCGGTAGGAAAAGATGCCCCGCAGCGTCCTGAGCCTTGTTCTCGTACATCCGAACCCTCGGATTTCTCCCCGTGGGCTCGCTCTAGGTCAAGCACAGCAGCTATGCTTCTGGTTTTATCCAGACAAGGCATCGGACGGTGTCCGGCCCCACGGATAGGTTCAGATTATTTATTTAAAATCATCGCTAGATCGAGGGACTGACTGGACCACATCATCACTACAATGACTCTCGCCCAAAACCACTACGTGGTACAACTCCCCGTAACCCCCATAACTGGCGGGGCACTAAATCCCTGCGACATTGCCCAGCAATGGCTCACGAACCTGGAGATCCAACTGGGCACATCGCCAGTCTCCCAAGTCAAGCTTTCAGGGCTCTTCCACAAAGACTCGTGGTGGCGCGATATGCTAGCTCTAGACTGGGACTTCCACACTATCCACACCGTCTCTAAGATTGAGCAGTACATCAGCCGTAACCAGCCGCGGGCCCGTCTCACGGCCTTCCGTCTCCAGGATGAGGGCAGGTTCCAGCCTAAAGTCGAGAAGCCGGTTGAGGGGTTACGGTGGATCTCATCGATGTTCTTCTTCGAGAGTCGAGTGGGACGCGGCACGGGTGTTCTGCGTCTGACTCAGGATGAGGCCGGTGTGTGGAAGGCGTACTCTCTCTATACGAGTTTGCAGGAGTTGAAGGGCTTTGAGGAACCTCTGGGACTACGACGGCCTGAGGGGACCATCGAGTCGATGCCAGGGAATCCAAGTAAGGAAAACTGGCTGGAGAGACGCCAGAGGCAGCTTGAATTCAAACACGAGGAGCCTACGGCGCTCCTTGTTGGTGCGGGTACTTACTTCGCAATATCACTGTCAATCGAGCGTGCTGACATGCCGTAGGACAAGCTGGTCTCAACGTGGCCGCTCGGTTGCAATCACTCGGGATCTCATGCCTCATAGTCGACCGCAACGAGAGAATCGGTGATAACTGGCGGAAGCGGTATAGAGTGCGTCCATGTTTACTTCTTGATACCAAATCCGCAACTCCGTACCTATGCTGATTGCCCAGACCCTTGTGACGCACGACCCGGTAGAGTTCACACACATGGCCTACCTCCCCTTCCCTCGGCACTGGCCCCAGTTCACCCCAAAAGACAAACTCGCAGATTGGTTCGAAGCATATGCCAGAATCATGGAGCTGAACGTATGGCTGAAGACAAGTGTCAAGTCGGCTGTCTACAATGATGCCAAGGCCCAGTGGACTGTCACCGTCGCCCGCGGTGACACTGGTTCGGCGCGAGTCCTCCATCCCCGGCACATCGTCTGGTGTACCGGTCACTCGGGGGAACCCAAGATTCCCACTTTCCCGGGCCAGATGCAATTCAAAGGGACGGTGTACCACGGTAGTCAGCACCACGATGCATCCGACTATGAGGTGAAGGGAAAGAAGGTGGTTGTTGTGGGGACCGGAAACAGCGGCCACGACATCGCGCAGAACTTCTACGAGAACGGAGCCAACGTGACCATGCTGCAGCGCAGCGGGACGTATGTCATCACAGCGGCCAAAGGGGTGTTGATGCAGCACGAAGGGCTGCACGAGGAGAACGGGTACGTTGTCCTCCCTCAACGCTGTAATTGACCATCGACAAACCAACGTACCCAGACCACCCACAGAAGAAGCAGACATCATCTCCGAATCCCTCCCGTACCCGGTAAAGTTCGCTCTAGACGTGCACTTCACGAAACGCGTCTACGAAGCCGAAAAGGACATCCTAGACGGCCTCAAGGCCGCCGGCTTCGAACTCGACTTTGGCGTTGACGGGGCGGGTATATCCCGCGCGTACATGACCCGCGGTGGAGGGTATTACATTGACGTCGGATGCAGCCAGCTCATCGCCGACGGCAAGGTCAAGATCAAAAGAAGTCCTGAGGGGATAGCGGGTTTCAATGACCGTGGCCTGCTCCTGAAAGATGGGAGCGCACTAGACGCAGAAATCGTTGTGCTGGCGACGGGATACGATAACATGCGAACAACTGTGCGCAAGGTATTGGGCGATCGAGTCGCAGACAGGTGTAGGGACGTCTGGGACTTGGATGAGGAGGGTGAGATCAATGCGGTAGGCGAATTCTTTTTGGACTGTTGAGCAACGGTGCTGATGATAGACGGACAGATGTGGCGACCAAGTGGCCATCCCGGATTCTGGTTCATGGGCGGAAACTTGGCCCTGTGCCGGATCTATTCCAAGTTCCTTGCGCTGCAGATCAAAGCCATTGAGGCGGGTCTGGTGTCACAGGATATTGTCCTTGCCAAGCTGTGAAGGAGGAAACAGTGGGAGACTATCAACAATAGATGCAATGTCCGCAGAGGATGAAAGGCAAGCTGCACATAATACAGGAAATGAGGCCATCCTATGAATGATAGAATATTCAAAATGTATATAGACAGGGAAGACAAGCCAAACTAAAGGCCAAACGACAGTCATTAACACATTATATCTTCTAGGCATGATGGTGAGATTGTCTCACCGGGACAACAATCCTCTATGTACAAAAAGTCAAGAAGAGTAGACCTCTTCGCCGGACGCCTTCTTTTCGCCATGGGCAAACAGTCATGTACAGAGCAGGGGAGCAAACAAAGCTGAATCACAGAATCACAGAAATATGTACTCTCTAGCTTTAAGAGTCTCCAAGCATATCGCTAGCGCCGTCGTCGATGACCATTTGCACATCCTTGATCGGATGTAATAGCATAGGTGGAAGACACATTCTTCCCTCTCCAGCCAATTCTTCCTGCTCGCCGCCGTCATTGTCGACCTTGTAGCCGAGCCACCGCCGCCAGAGATTGGGCGAGAAGCCAGCCGAGTAGAACCAGGTAGTTCCGCGGAAGTTATGCTCCCGGTCACCGAACACAGAAGTCCGAGCACCACCAGATGCGCCGTTCCGGCCGGCGTTGAAAACGGATTCGAGGTACTTCGTCGGCCAGCGACGGTCGATGTACACAGAATGCGGCACGTAAACCGCCTTGAAGCCGTGGTGCAACGCTGTGGTGGCAGGCCACATCTCAGAGAACATGGTATGTCGCTTCAGACTCGTCTCTTTGTGCATAGTGAGAAGCAGCTTGCGCGACAGTCGAGAGGCGGTGATAATAGCTGTCCGTCGAGGAGGCATACCGTTCTCCTTATTGTACCCGGTCACATCATCGCGAAGAAGCCAGGTCGTGCCCTCCGGGTCATACAGGGGGTTGAAGACAATGAGGTCTGCCTCCTCACCTACGCCCCATTCGTTCTGATCCTTCTCCATCGTGGTCTGGGGGATGCCTTCTCCGTCCACCTCCAAGATGTCCCGCTCATCGGGTCGTTCGGGTCCCCAGATCGGCTTGTCCCCTTGACGATGGAGAGCAGATCTGTCTCCAGAGGACGGGTCGGAGCCATGTTTGGCGGCCGCGCTCCATACATTATTCGGGCTATTGGTACCGCTCTCAGTCTGTACACGAACTGTATGTCGGAAATCCTCCCAGGATCCATGGACAGAGGGAACATAAAAGCGAGCATTTCTCTCCCACAGTAATTTGCGCGGCTGTTCCCGCGCCCAGCTGCCCACTTTGTCGAATAAATGGTACCAGTGGCCTGTGTATCGCACGTCCATCTCCCAGTTCCAATAGAAGTCGTACTCCGGATGTTGGTAGGCAAAATACTGCATTGGCATGAACGTGCTGCGGTAGACACCGTGAACAGGCAATCCACGCGTCCATGTCTCTTCCAACCCAGGATAGATGAGAGCCATCTGCTGTTCTGACCAAAGAGTACCCATACCGCGGAATTCCTGGGGAAGAGCATCGTTGAGCACGCGCTCGTAGGTCTCGTCGTCCGACCAGATTTGCAAGTTTCCATCTTTGACATGGACTAAGAAATGAATGGTATACTCTCCTCCCGACAACAATGAGAGCTCCGAAATCAGCGAGCGCAAGTACAGGATGTCATCAGGGGTGAAGTGAAAATCGTGCCATGTCCGAATTACCACTGCCGTTCGAGGTAGACGATCCGCTTTCGACTGGGACGCTTCATCCTTTTCCTGGGAGGGAGCAGAGGACTTTGGAACTCCCACGGGCAAGGAGAGAAAGCGATCTAGCCGCGGCTGAGGGAGATCTTTGAAGCGGTGGCTATTGAGGGTCACGCATCTGTTCTGCGCAGCAGCCCAGTCGACGTGACGAAAGTCTACGGGGGGCAAATCGTCCCACACACGTTCTGCGCCTTCACGGTGTCCCTCCAAGCCTGCACCGACACCACCTTTCCTAACACTGTATCCGAAACCATAGGGACCAAGGCGGCCAAATCGTTCGAAGCAAACATCATCCTTGATACCTAGCATCTTATTTGACCCCATCACTGCATCCGGAAACCCACGGGGTACTCCAGGGTAATGCTGCACCTGGGGAATGCGAATAGTCTCCTGCCCATCGAGGAAGCATTCGCGCTTCTCACCATACTTCTTCACGTACTCATCTGATGCGTAATCGGGGTATGGGTTGAAGACCAAGCTCGACATCAACGCTTCCTGATCTCTGGTTTCAATGTTGGCCCGACCCTTTTGATTGTCCGAACCCATGGCCATCTCCTCCATTCCGTCACTTGGATATTCGGGTGTTGACTCATTGCGCGGGGTCAATGTTCGAATACCACCATGATACCGTTTCAGAAAAGGGAAGCTCTCCCATTGCGGCGGTTTGGGCGCCACCTTTGGCAGTTCGAGCGCGACTTGCTTGGCGTTCGAGGTGATGGTGAAGCGGAAAAGGGTGAGGATGAACAAGACTAGTGCAGAGAATAGCGCGAGGCACAGGTATCGCATTATCCGATTCGGGACACGATAGTAACCAACCGGCGCTCGAGAGCGCCGCGCCGAGGCGGCACTATTCAACATTGGCCGACGCGAACTGGCAGAGGAAGAGGTGAGGGAGTCGTCGCCGCTGTCTGACTCTATCGAACTGCGATGGTCATGCTGGGTATAATGTGTGCGATGCGGCAGCTTCTCAATGTCCACTGCATGGTGGCGAGTGTCTGGAGTATAAAGCGAGGCATGTGTACCGGACCGCTTCCTCGTCTGGTTGGCCATGGTTCACAATGTACCTGGGCAGATGGTCATCAACGGTAGATGTTTCCTATGAGCAACGTCACACAAAAGAGTATAGGTGCGATGAGTGGGTCGATCGGTGGGCCAGCATCAATACAATTACTGGGGGACAAGAGACGAATGCAATGGCTTGTTTCAATGTCGGGTCAATCTGTTGTTGTAAACACAAATACATGTCAGTAAGAGGTATTGCACCTTGGAAAACGGAAATAAATATATACCTTCAGAATGATCTCAGTTCAATCCAAAGTCAATTAGTACCCAATGGTCCCTCTCCTGTCAGGACAATATCAGATCTCTCATAACCGAACCCGATAACGATACGCTTCCCTGGAATGTGGAGTTGGAATGGGGATATTTCAGAAAAAAGGCCTTGACAATGTGATACCAAGTCTGATAGGACAATTGGACAAGGTATCAAACAACAAGAGCCAACATCAACTCAAACAGTGAGCATTGGAGATGTGGCCAGGCTCAGTCCGCGATACGTCCACCCGAATCAACAAAACACGCAGCTATCGGCGTTACCCAAGGGATATCCAGCGCTTACGCACGACTAGCCAAGGAGTGGGGCGATATTTCTCTTTTTGGCTAAAAAGATAAGAATCATAGAGTTCGCAAATCAATATTTGACACTCTGGGGATAGCTCTCAAGATATGATCAAAGCCCAAGGGAGGCTATTATAATGATCAGATCTTGTCTTGTTCGTCTTTTGTTTTCTTGCAAGTTGCAGCTCAACCAAATTGGTGGAAATTCCACATTAGGTTAGTGCTGCGACGCTAGCCTATCTGGGTAATATGCTGATTACTGTGTATAGAGGGCGAAGGAAGCTCTGGAATCGCTTATAGAGAAGTTCTAGAGAAGATTATACAGTATATGAGCCTGAGAAGTGAAGCTTGTATGCATAAGAGTGCTAGTTCTTGTTCGGAGAACTTCCCGAGTACATAGCACAAGATGGAGACTATCGTCGCCTCGACTTCATGAACATATCTGTGTCGCTCGAGTTTCAAGTCCAAGTAAAGAATTATGACAACCGTTTTGCTGACTAAAGGGTATCTTCCAATTATATTTGCTTTCTCCATCGCTTCTCGCGTTCCTCCAAGACGTACAAGCATCAGATAAGACCGCCATCATGCTCTCGGCTCTTAGACCGGTCAATCGTGATGGTGCCGTCCTTCTCTAGTGAGTCGTATTCATGTACCATCGCAATAGATCATTCGTCCAATATGCAGCACAGTCGCAGCCGAGGCATACCACGCGTATTCAGCATGCCCGGAAAGAAGCATGCCTTCATGAAGCCTTGCGGATGCTTGACGTTTCAGCACCAAGTCGTAGTTTCGGTCACAGCCTCGGAACGACACCATTAAGTCTTGTACGCATGGGAAGGGCTGTCCACCGTGTATAATTGAGTGCCAATTGTCTTTTCATGCGTTTTTCGTGCCCTTGACGACCTCGCCTTTCACCTTCGACCAGTCGATATCATTGTCAATCGCCTCGTCGACTTCACCGCACAGAACCACATTGTCGCCTCGAATCAAGTAAAGTCCGTGTTCGATCTGCGAGCTCGGTTCGGGGTCATCCGGCGTTCGGATAATTCTCTCAATTGTGTCCAGCAGGACGAGATTCGTCAACTGATCCGTGGACAAGAGTGTCCCTAGTAAGGTGCGGCCGTCGACAGTGAGAATGAGGACCTTTTCTAAGCATTACGATAGTTGTGTTAGCCACCGTACTGTGATACCTGCGTCGCATAGTGCCATTACCGCATAGAAAAAGGCGAACTTACTATTGATGTAGGAGTGCAGAGACATGATGGGGAGCTGCGAGGCCGCTCAATGACGGGCTAAGGTGGTTCAAGTACAAAAAGTTCCGAGCCGTCCGCTGACTGGGCTGGTACCTCGGTGCTCCTCGGAATCGGGATTGACAGCCAAGTTGTATCTCAGCAGTAAAAGTCGGCAATAGCTGGATTCGCAATTGGAAGCTTCCTCGTCCGCCTTTGACGGCAGAGTGATCTGGACAAATCGGATGAGCTTGGATGATCGGACGTGACCCGTTTGAGTTCAATCGATCACTGCCAATTCAAATAATGGCGTTGTACTTGCAGAATGGATGTGAAAGAAAAGTTCGCCCGTGGTCAGTTCTGAATAAGCAAGTACAACACCCAATTCCGCCTTTCGCATTTCGATGCTTAAT